CTTATATACTTTTCTGATTTTCTGACTTATTGCATCGGGATATTCCGATTTCGAGTCACAACCAAAATTCAAACAACCAACCAAATTCAACCGAAAAAAGTTAAAATTAATTCCCTACTTTCCTTTCTGACAACACACACACATATATTTGTTCAAAGGACATATAACCGACCATTGCAAAAGCCACATTTTCATTATTTAATGATCTTCATAATTTAAATTGCTAGCAGACTTCAACGAATTATTAAACACAATATATGTATGTGTATATGAGTATAATAATATTAAATTAATTAACATTCCAAATAGCAACAAATGTTTAATTGTTTGTATATGGATGCACAGCACAACTTAATTATTAATGGTGGATGAAAAAAAAAAAAAAAAAACAAAATGTAAAGAGGATGCATATCTGCCGCCAGGATAATAAAACTAACAATAAAATTGTGTACAATATTTTTTAAGCAAAAAAAAAAAAAAAAAAAAAAAATACAAATAACGCACTTATTAAATGCTGCCATGTGGTAAACAAAGTGGAGTTGGGGTTAGGGGGGACAAAATGATATAATAAAATAGCTTTCAGCGATGGTCAACAAATTAATGACCATAGCAATGGACATATTACATAGATACAGAATTAATGTCAAATGGCAATGGATACAATTTGCAGGACTTGTTTTCTGGGGATTTCCTATGTAACGTAGTTAACCAGTTATAGGGGTGAGGTATTTGTACAGATTTGATTAATTTCAAGTTAAGAGGGTTTCATAATATTTTCCATTCACCGATAAACCGAAATGATTCTAATCTGTACAAATAAAATGATTATTCCATGAAATATTATAGAAGACCCTACTTAAATCTGGTCTATAGCTACCTAACAAGGTTAGACTTATTCTCTTAAAAACCGCTTGAGACCTAAAAAAATGAAATTGTTTTGAATAGGGACCTACTAAGTCTATTTTTTATTTCTTTGTATAATAAGTAAATTTTGGAATCTGATTTTATATATAGCCCCCATATAACGCTACTTTCCGATATTCCGTACCTTGATATTTTGGCGACACTATTCACCAGAATTGTTTTATATTTGGTATTTGAAGTTCGTAATGGATACTACAGTCTATGCCAGAAAATCGGCACCTCACGATTTTCGGTGCTTTGGTGATTTTAGCGACATTATTAACCGGAATTGTTTAAAATTTGGTATTTGAAGTTCGTAATGGATGCTACAGCCTAAGACAGAAAATTGAACCGGAATTGTTTAAAATTTGGTATTTGAAGTTCGTAATGGATGCTACAGCCTAAGACAGAAAATTGTTTGTGCAGGTCCACGCCTTCGTAAAGGCCCCATATAACGGCACCTCCCGATATTCGGTACTTTTATGATTTTAGCGACATTGTTCACCGGAATTGTTTCAAATTTGGTATTTGAGGTTCGTAATCTATACTACAGTCTAAGACAGAAAATTGTCTGCACAGGTCCACATCTACGTATGGCCCCCATATAACGTTACCTCCCGACATTCGGTTCTGATTTGAATCTAAAATGATTTCCACCAAATTTGAGTTATATCCAAATCTGAACCGATTTCGATAAAACTTTCTGAGCTGTATCTGATATATAGTACCAAATATCATTTATGTGGAGTGTATATTGCGAATGAGAGAGAGGACATATATATGGGAGCTATAGCTATATCTTACACGTTAAGGTCTTCTTATAGAAGACGTTAAGTTATTCTCATAGCAGAAGGTTTAGGTCTTCTCATAGATGTAAAGGTCTTCTCAGAGAAGACGTTAAAGTCTTCTCATAGAAGACGGGTTAGGTCTTCTCATAGAAGACGGTTTGGATTATCTCATAGAGGACGGTTTAGGTCTTCTCATAGAAGACTGTTTAGGTCTTCTCATAGAAGACGTTAAGGTCTTCTTATAGAAGACGTTAAGTTATTCTCATAGCAGAAGGTTTAGGTCTTCTCATAGATGTAAAGGTCTTCTCAGAGAAGACGTTAAAGTCTTCTCATAGAAGACGGGTTAGGTCTTCTCATAGAAGACGGTTTGGATTATCTCATAGAGGACGGTTTAGGTCTTCTCATAGAAGACGGTTTAGGTCTTCTCATAGAAGACGGTTTAGGTCTTCTCATAGAAGACGGTTTAGGTCTTCTCATAGAAGACGGTTTAGGTCTTCTCATAGAAGACGGTTTAGGTCCTTTCATAGAAGACGGTTTAGGTCTTCTCATAGAAGACGTTAAGGTCTTCTCATAGAAGACGTTAAGGTCTTCTCATAGAAGACGTTAAGGTCTTCTCATAGAAGACGTTATGGTATTCTCATAGCAGAAGGTTTAGGTCTTCTCATAGATGTAAAGGTCTTCTCAGAGAAGACGTTAAAGTCTTCTCATAGAAGACGGGTTAGGTCTTCTCATAGAAGACGGTTTGGATTATCTCATAGAGGACGGTTTAGGTCTTCTCATAGAAGACGGTTTAGGTCTTCTCATAGAAGACGGTTTAGGTCTTCTCATAGAAGACGGTTTAGGTCTTCTCATAGAAGACGGTTTAGGTCCTTTCATAGAAGACGGTTTAGGTCTTCTCATAGAAGACGTTAAGGTCTTCTCATAGAAGACGTTAAGGTCTTCTCATAGAAGACGTTAAGGTCTTCTCATAGAAGACGTTAAGGTCTTCTCATAGAAGACGTTATGGTATTCTCATAGCAGAAGGTTTAGGTCTTCTCATAAAAGACGTTAAGGTCTTCTCATAGAAGACGGTTTGGGTCTTCTTATAGAAGACGTTAAGTTCTTCTCATAGAAGACGGTTTGGGTCTTCTCATAGAAGACGTTAAGGTCTTCTTATAGAAGACGGTTTGGGTCTTCTCATAGAAGACGTTAAGTTCTTCTCATAGAAGACGGTTTGGGTCTTCTCATAGAAGACGTTAAGGTCTTCTCATAGAATACGGTTTGGGTCTTCTCATAGAAGACGTTAAGGTCTTCTCATAGAAGACGTTAAGGTCTTCTCATAGAAGACGTTAAGGTCTTCTCATAGAAGACGGTTTGGGTCTTCTTATAGAAGACGTTAAGTTCTTCTCATAGAAGACGGTTTGGGTCTTCTCATAGAAGAAGTTAAGGTCTTCTTATAGAAGACGGTTTGGGTCTTCTCATAGAAGACGTTACGATCTTTTCATAGAAGTTGTTAAGGTCTTCTCATAGAAGACGGTTTGGGTCCTCTCATAGAAGACGTCAAGTTCTTCTCATAGCAGACGTTAAGGTCTTCTCATAGAAGACGGTTTGGGTCTTCTCATAGAAGACGTTAAGTTATTCTCATAGAAGACGTTAAGGTCTTCTCATAGAAGACGTTTTAGGTCTTCTCAGAGAAGACGTTAAGGTCTTCTCAGAGAAGACGTTAAGGTCTTCTCATAGAAGACGTTTTAGGTCTTCTCAGAGAAGACGTTAAGGTCTTCTCATAGAAGACGTTAAGGTCTTCTAATAGAAGACGTTAAGGTCTTCTAATAGAAGACGTTAAGGTCTTCTCATAGAAGACGTTAAGGTCTTCTCATAGAAGACGTTAAGGTCTTCTCATAGAAGACGTTAAGGTCTTCTAATAGAAGACGTTAAGTTATTCTCATAGCAGAAGGTTTAGGTCTTCTCATAGAAGACGTTAAGGCATTATCATAGCAGAAGGTTTAGGTCTTCTCATAGATGTAAAGGTCTTCTCAGAGAAGATGTTAGTCTTCTCATAGAAGACGTTAAGGTCTTCTCATAGAAGACGGGATAGGTCTTCTCAGAGAAGACGGTTTATGTCTTCTCCTAGAAGACGGCTTATGTGTTCTTAGGTCTTAGGTCTTCTCAAAGAAGAGAAGGGTCTTCTTATAGAAGACAGCTTTGGTCCTCTAATAGAAGACGGTTTAGGTCTTCTCATAGAAGACGTAATTCCAAGTATTTCCATGACTTTAGCCACATTTTCCTACCGAACGCGATCTAAGTTGACATTTACAATTCACAGAACATTGAATTAGAATACCTCCCTCCCACACACCAGCTTTGGATATTATTGCATCTTATTTCTTATTATTAACCCGAATTTTAAATGACGACCCCACTCCGACACCACTTTCCCCACTTCGTTGCATAGGCAACAAAAAATCACATTCCTCAAGAGGGCACATCTATCCAATACGAAAAAGCCATTACTTTCATCAAACAAATGACATTTACAAATTTTTACCGCTTTTCATTAAATGTAATTTCAGATCACAAGATTGTCTGTTTTGTTGTTGTCGTTGGGTTTTTTAGTTTCGAATTTTGAGAGAAAAATACCATCACTTTTGCTGCCACTTCAGACGTCATTGCTAAAATGTTATTATTGTCCATGGTTACTGTTACCACTACCTTTGTGCCTTTTATTATTATTAAATTTATTTTACTTTATTTTTTGTTGTTGGACGGCGGGGATGTGGTAGTCTCGTAGCCAGCTAAATGTTATAAATTTCATTGACATCGTAGTTGTTGGTGTTGTTAGTGTGGCATTTTAATGAATTTAAATTTCCAGTGATGTTGTTGCTGCTCTCGTTTGTCCATAACCCAACGGGGCAAAGCGAATATAACATTAACCAGGGACGGTGACGGCGACAAAGGCGCTACACCCACCAACATTCACTTTTTCACCAGCTAAGCCAGGCTGAGTCTGTTATTTTTTTTTCCAACAGCCAGCCACAGAGCAGAATGAAAAAAAATGAAAACAAACCCGCATACAAAATTCAAATCTTTGTCAGAGTTCAAAACAGTTTTTCATGTGACTGGCTGGCTGGCTGGCTGGCTGGATGTGAGATTTGTGATTCGAACGTGTGAGGGTGTACATGTGTGTGTGTGCCTAAGTTTTGGGGTCCGATGCTTAACTGGGTGTTGACGCAAATTGAAAGTCTTGAAATACATAGCGTTTTTTTCTTTATCTCTCCCCGCCTTTTCACATTGTATTTATCTGCAAGAAATGAAGAAAAAAAGATCACTCACCTTATTTCGTTTTTTTGTTATTTTTGTCGTTTGTTGTTGTCGTCTCCTCTTGTCGACTGTCAAATGTCTGGTGGCGTGGATAATGGCCTAAAATAGATTTCTTTGGTTATCGATGAAAGTTATTTTGTCTTGGGCACGAGTTCACAGAAACTGCAGAGCATTGCTGAAAAGAGCGAAGAAAGAGGGAAATTTTTATTGTATTTTAAATTGGAAGTACTTATTTGGAATGAATCTATTCCAGATTTGGTGAAAAAATGTTATAAAACGTTTAAAATACATAAATTAAATTCCATAACAAATTACATCCTAAAAAGATTAAAGAGTATTTTATTTAAAGACCAATGTAACACACACTGGTATGGAAGACAAAAAATCAATCTAATAGGCCTTCTCAAAGATAATGGGGTGAAATCGTTAATACAGTAAATTTTATAATTTTTCGATAGAAGAGTAAATGTTCTTTACCTTATGGAAGAGACATTGAATGCATTTGACTTATAAGCCCTTAGGAGCAAATCCTTCAGAAGTGGCAAAAACTCAAGGTCTTTTAATAAACGGGTCTTCTCAAAAGTATAGAAATGAAAATATCTTGAGAGAAATTTAGAAACTGAGGAGGAACCAATAAGAAGTTCTTCTACTAAAGAAACACGAGAACTTATTTTAACCAGCTCTACGCTTAAAATAGTATGAGCTTGTATCTAAGAAGATGACGAGCGGGAAGAGTACCAACTCATAACTTAAACAAGTTAAAAAGCTGTAAGTTCGGCCGGGCCGAACTTTGAATACCCTCCACCATATGGAACGAATTTGGAAATTTTCAAAAAATAAAATTTTTAAAAAATTCTGTTAAAATTTAAAAAATACCAAATATAGCCGTCTATTGGGGTCTATACGACGTGGACCTACATAGGCATTGTTTGTCATAAGCCATTACCATATTCAAACTCGAAACTTGAAATAAACAGTGAATAATGTAGCTAAAATCGTCAAAATATCGCAAATAGGGAGGTACCGTTATATCGGAGCTGTGCGAAGACCTGCACCTGCATAGACAATTATCTGTCACAGGCTGTAGCATCCATTACGAACTTCAAATACCACATCTCAAACAATTTCGATGGGTATTGTACAAAAAATCGTCAAGATACTGAATATAAGGAGGTACTGATATATGGGGCCTATACGAAGACCTGGACCTATATAGACAATTTTCTGTCACAGATTGTAGTTCTCATAGCGAACTCCAAATACGTAATTTGAAACAACTCTGGTGAATAATGACGATAAAATCATCAGTATACCGAATATTGGGAGGTACTCCAAGGGGCTGTAGGAAGACGTGGACCTACACAAACAATTTTCTGTCTTAAGGTGTAGTATTCATTTCGAACTTCAAATACCAAATTTGAAAAAAATACCGTTAAATAATGTCGCTAAAGTCATCAAAATACCAAATATAGGGAGGTACCGTTATATGGGGGCTATACGAAGACGTGGACCTGCACAGACATTTTTCTGTCTTAGGGTGTAGTATCCATTTCGAACTTCAAATACCAAATTAGAAACTATTCCGGTGAATAATGTCGCTAAAATCATCAAAATACCGAATATCGGGAGGTACCGTTATATGGGGGCCATATGATAACTTGGACCTACATGTCCCATTTACGAACTTAACCTGCCTTTTAGCCTTCTATCTCAATTTGTTCGAAAGATAGCGTGATTACAACAGACAGGCAGACGGACAGACAGACGATTTTTTCTCTTGAAATGCACGAGCTCTTTTCTTAAACAAGGGCGAGCTTGAAGGGCACGAACATAAGCTATTCTCCTAGATTAGCTAGAAATATTCTTATTGAAGAACACGGACTAGCCCCCAGAAGATCACTAGCTTTTATCCGAAGAGAACACGATCTCTTAATATCAAATCAGGAGAATGGGCAATTCTTCTTTTATTTCCCTACAAGAGCATGAGCTATTCTCCAGAAAGTTACGATCTACTCTCCCTGGAGGGCGTAAGATAATCTGCTGAAAGAGTACGAGCATTTTTGCGAACAGAAAACGAACATAGGCTATTTTCCTATAGAAACAAGATATATTCTCCTTCAAGAACACGGGTTATTCTCAAAAGAGCAAGACCTTATATCGAAAAGAGAACGACTTCATAACAACAAGAGCATGGATACACTCCTAGAAGAACATGAATTACTCGCCCTAGAAGTGTACGAACTATTTTTCTAAAGGGGAAAGAAATTTTCCTATTCTCCTAGATTAGCAAGAGATATTCTCTATTAAAAACATAGACTATCCTCCCAGAAGAGCACGATCTTTTATCCTTTAAAAACAATCATGACATGAAGGTGATCTATTCTCTTGGAAGAGGAAATATTCTCCTACGAGAGCACTAGCTTTTCCCCTAGAAGATTACGAGCTATACCCCCCATAAAAGAGCTTAAGTTTATATCCAGCAAGAGCACCATCGCATATCATCGAAGATCGAGGGACGCAATAAAAATTGAAGAGTTTAATTAATTCTGGTAGCGCAGGTGTTTTCACCTGAAAAAGTAGGAATGATATTTTCAAAGAAAGTAAAAGTTTTAACATAAAATTGCAGAAGGTTTTCTCAGAGAAGAGCCGAAAATTTTCTTCCCCTAGAAGGGAACAATATATTTTTAAAGGAGTTCGAATCCATCTTCAACGAAGCCCTATCTTATAAGAAAATAAAGCCTATGTACTAGCATTAGAAGAGGTGAAGCCCTTCTTACAGAAGAGGTGAAGCTCTTCACATAAAAAAGCGTAGCGCTTTTCTCATAGAAGAGACGAAGCTCTTGTCTCGTAGAAGAGACGAAGCTCTTGTCTCGTAGAAGAGACGAAGCTCTTGTCTCATAGAAGAGACGAAGCTCTTGCCTCATAGAAGAGACAAAGCTCTTGTCTCATAAAAGAGACGAAGTTCTTGTCATTGTCATCAAATTTTCTTCATTTAGTAGTTGCAAAATGTTTATTTGACCAATTGATGACCAAGACATCTCATCAGAGTATAGCAGAGATGAGCAGGAAATCTCCTCAGGGAGATGGGAGAGACAGCAATCGCTCAAAAGAGCACAAACCTTATTCTATTGGAAGAGCTGAATGTTGTCTCTAAAAAGTTGCATTGATTCTTATAAGTCTTCTCGTAAAAGAGAAGGAAGGAGTTACGGTGAAGAAAATTAGGCCTACTCATAAAGAGAGAAGTACTTCTTAAGAATGAAGTACTTCAAGGAATGAAGTGTTTTTTTTATGGAAAAGAAAATTATTTCCACTCATTGAAATGGTATTCTCTAAGATTATGAGACAGAAGAGTAGAGTAGCATAAGGCAGAAAAGTAAAAGTTATGTTCTAATAGCGGAAATGGAGGTCTCTTCCCACCAGAAGATCACATCTCTTCTGATAGAAGAGCTATTAGTTTATTCTAGCCAGCATTCTTATAGAATATACCTTTTTCAAGGTACCAATAAGTCCCATGGAAGACAAGGGTTTTTTTATGAATATTGGTCTTCGCCTCCAGTTGTTTGTTCTAATAGAGGAAATGGAGGTCTCTTATGCCAGTTGTTCTTCTCATTTAAAGTCCCGGTTTGTACATCTCACATAAAAACCCGTTATGTGTTTAAAAAAAATAATAGATTTTTCCATATCCATATCTCTGAAATGGTGTCAAAGATTTTTTGCAAAAAAATATAGAACACAACAAAATCACACCTTAAAATGTTCTCGAGCTTCTTCCTCTGTTCTCTATGCCTCTATTTTTGGCAAAAAACCTACTCAACCGTTTTTTTTGGGAGGTGCTAATAGATTTTTGTTCTTATTCTTTGTTTTTTAGAATTCGGTCACATGGTGCAAAGTCGTCGTTTTTTCGGCTAATTGTTAATCAGGTTCTTAGTGTTTGACTTCGAATTCGGTTTCCAGTTTCATTTGTTTTGCAACTGGTTACAAGTTTTCATGTGAGCTGATTTTGTTTTTCGTTACCAATCCGCTTATGTCCGGTTGTCGATTTCAGGGAGGAGGGTGACAAGCGGACAGACAGACAACTCATAACCACGACAATTCAACGACAATTAGCGCTGAAGGCTTTTGAGATTGTCACGAAATAAAATGTGGCGGATAAATGGACAGAAACCACGAAATCTGTAAAATAGCGTTTTTTATAATTGTTGTTGCTGTTTGTTATCTCTTTTTTATACCCTCCACCTTAGTATAGAGGGTATATTAAGTTTGTTATTCTGTTTGTAACACCTCGAAATATACATTTTAGACCCTACAAAGTACATATATATATTTTTGATCAGCATCAGATTTTATATCGATTTAGTGATTTCCGAACGAAGTGGGTTGATAAAATTTTACTCAAATGTAGATTATGTCTGCAGAACTTTTGGAATTAAAATGGACCATGTACGTCCACATCTTCGTGTAGCCCCCATACAACGGTAACTCCCGATATTTGGTATTTTGATGATTTTAGCGACATTATTCACCTGAATTATTTCAAATTTGGTATTTGAAGTTCGTAACGGATACTACAATCTATGACAGAAATATGTCTGTGCAGGTCCACGTCTTCGTACAGCCCCCATATAACGGTACCTCCCGATATTTGGTATTTTGCTGATTTTAGCGACATTTTTCACCGGAATCGATTCAAATTTGGTATTTGAAGTTCGTAATGGATGCTATAGCCTATGGCAGAAAATTATCTGTCCAGGTCCACGTCTTCGTATAGCCCTCATATAATGGTACCCCCCGATATTCGGCATTTTTATGATTTTAGCGACATTATTCACCGGAATCGATTCAAATTTGGTATTTGAAGTTCGTAACGGATACTACAGTCTATGACAGAAATATGTCTGTGCAGGTCCACGTCTTCGTATAGGTATAAAGGTACCTCCCTATATTCGGTATTTTGATGATTTTAGCGACATTATTCACCGGAATCGATTCAAATTTGGTATTTGAAGTTCGTAACGGATACTACAGCCTATGACAGAAAATTGTCTGTGCCGGTCCACGTCTTCGTATAGCCCTCATATAACGGTACCCCCCTATATTCGGTATTTTGATGATTTTAGCTACATTATTCACCGGAATCGATTCAAATTTGGTACGTGAAGTTCGCAATGGATACTA